CTACAAGATCTACTTGGTGCAACATAGAACAAATCTTGTGCATAGGAAAAAATATTTCATTTTCAAGCTTTGTGACTATCCCACCAATTCTTTTGCTAATCATGTTTGTGCCATCAAAAGCAATATCAATCAATCATTTATGTTTAAGTGTGTCATATGAAATCCAACATTGTCACCGTAAGATTGAATATATTTGCAGTTGTATGCTGCTCAAATATAGGAACCACTGCAACATAAAAATTATTCAGACTTATTTTTAAGTGAAAGCAAACACGTATGGCAAGTTATAAACAAAAACTGTGGTATGATGAATTCAGTGCCAATGAAAAAGCTAGAATAACATGTGATTACATAATTCATACATATCAGAAAAATTTGTTGCCACGATAATGCAAACATAATCAACCATCATGACATGTGAAACAAATTTTATCTTGCCAACACCAATCCATTCCTTGGTGGATTATAGAATTGCAACAATTTGATTAAACGATAATACATGAGAGTAGCATGAGATGATCAGATGGGATTGCAAAACATTCTTAATTGTGGTCACATTACTGTCATCATTTGAAGTCTGAAATAAATACAAAGCTTTTGCTCGTGGACCTTTGATAGGGTCAGTCATATCAAAAAACAAATAGTACATGATATTGTAATTTTTTGTCCGTTTGAATGCTAAAGTTATGAATTGAAACCTAACGGGTGAACCACTTATCTTTTGTGTTTATTGTGCGTGATGATTATAATGTTTGAGATTCTAATTAAATTCCTGGTTCAGATTTGAGTTGAACTTCTAATGCTTATGTTCACCAAGCATCATGTTGGTGTTACTTGTAAGATATAATTTTGATGAGTTGGTTATACAAAAAAATCTCTGGTTATGTTAAGTGTGAGATGTGTGGGCGAAAAAATGATAGGTTTCTAGAGTAGACTTTAGAATAAAGAAAGCTGATTTCTAGTTCATAACTTTAAACTTATGAGTGAAAACTAACTATATCTGAATATTACAAAATATTGCATCCATATTTACATTCAATATAAACAGTATCGCTGTGATTTAAAAATTAAAACGGCTAACATATTATCAATTGATTGAATAACTATTTTCTTGCAAGTGCAAAATTACGGAAAAGAAATAATTTGACATGAGGCAAAATTGATAAAGGTGAAAAAGAGATGCAAGCATAAGATGCATTTATTATTTAAACTTTTCGAGGTGTAATATGACATCAAACACAGAAATATTACAAGACAAAGAATGAAACGGGTACATATTTTTTTACAAGGTATTTTTTTGAATTTTTTAAAAGTAATAATCTTCTGTCTTTGACTTTAAAATATTGACTTCTTGAAGTTTTCAGCTATCACGAATTATGATTCTATCGTGTGAAGATGGCTCCACAAAGCATCATGTATTTTTTGATTAAGAAAACTTGTATGAACAAAGTAATTAATTCGTATGAAATTTATAAAAGATAATTCTCACAAGTTTCGGAACAAATGTTTGCATCAACAAAAGGGACAGAATCATGAATGGAAATAAACGAAACTCTTTGTTCTTTTATGGTATTTAAAAAAAAATATGATGCAAGATTTAATTTTCAAAACATTGAAATCTTTAGAAAAATAACATAAAAAATGTCACAATTTTTGCAAATTTTTTTTCTAAAAGGGTTAGACAAATTGTTAGTAGTGCACTGGGCATGAACTCCAATCCTTCTCAACAAACCGCGTTAATCAATCCTCATTTCAGATAGTTGGTTGAATAGCCACAGAAACGATTTCTTACACAGCATTGCTGTCCTCGTAAGTTACATTTGATCCACCATCAATGACATGCAGTATGGAAACTGAAGGAGACCAAATGGTTGTTTGAAGCTAACATGTTGACTTCTTGGGCAATCAGCTGACGTACTGTACAACATCGGAGCAGCTGTGTGGTCACTGATCATTGCTTCTGTCTTGCCTGCATTGATCTGACTGATCTGCCCTGCCTCTAACCGAGAGTATTTGAAGTTGTTGTATAGTTGTGTGTGGCTCTAATGACGACCAGTCGGGAATTGACTGCTCCTCATCACATACCTCAATGTTGGCTGCAGAAGCCCAGCTACTCAATCGATCTGTGCTGGCAGCGACGTGGGAGTTGCTAATGCTATCGATCAGTTTGAACCTTCTGAGTGTAAGTGGAGTCCAGAGCACGCTGACAAAACATGGCTGTAGACATTTGCCACAGATTTCAGAGCCCAAGGATTCAATCAGAGCTCATATGTCGCGAAGGCAACTTTTACTTACAAATCATTACCTTGTCGTACAAATTTCTCGTGCTCAGGTTCATCAGCTCCTGTGCTCTGTCTCTAGAATGAATATCTATAATGAATGTCTATGAGGACATGAGCTTTTGTCAAATCCCCAAAGGATTTGGGACTTGCAGTAGAAATCTCTTCTTTAACTCATGATCAGGTTGCCAATGGCAGCCTCAAGAACGACGTGTTGTATCAAATCGAGTGACACGGGACATACTAACCCGGGAGTGATCTCACCTGGATTCGGTGCAGACCTCTCTTGGCATGCAACCAGCAAATTCGCACCATCTTTCGACACTGGGAATCTTCTACATACCACAAGGTTAAGTGTGACCAGATTCCTTCATCGTTTTGCACTTCACCTGAAGGCAGCTACCGATACGGTGACAAATCCATGACCACAGACAAGTTAACTTTGAGTTCTTCTCATGGCTCGGAGGCCCGGCTTCCTGGCATGATGCCAGCGATTGCACCTTGACTCTCGCAGAAGCAGTTGGCATCGTTGAATCGGGTTCCCGGCAACTTACCTCTGTCATCACAAGTCGGCCTCGTGTTCGGATCCACCAACTTCTCTTACTGCCTACCGAGTCAGAATCTTCTCTCGCACACAATTTCCAGCCCTCTCTATTTGGCCCAGCTGCAGCACCTTCCAATGCTACATGCCTTACACTCGCATGATCTCGAACGAGATATACTGCTCCGAGCCTTGGCCTGCTCACTCCCCACTTATTTTCCTTTGTGAGCAGACAATTCTGCCTTCTCTATTTTTGTGATCCCAGTCAATTCAGTGTTTAGTGTCCAATCTGTGCGAACTTTCTTCTAGACGAGATGCAGTTCTTCGATAATGAGTGTCTTACATTATTATTTCACAGGAACGAACGCTGTGTCGGAGCTCCGCAGGAGGTGCACATTTTGTTCGACGAGTTTATTGTTAACGGAGTTCAATGCATTGCAATCATGCACGAAATATGAATATGAAAGCATTGCACATGCTTTCATATCTCAACCGTCTCGCTTCCCACCGCACTAGTAACTGAGGCGGTCTAGACCAAAGTTTAACTTTGCGATTGTGAAGTTCAAGAGAACTATAGGACTCGATCGGGATTCGATCGATGCTTTGAGAGTCGAGTGCGGGAGTTTGCCGAATTCCCCACATTCACATTCCACCTCAGATGCTGACTTTCCCCTGAGAACTACATACATGGTCTTCGCCTTGCCATTCATCGATGGTCAACGACTGGGTTCTTCATAATTTAGAACTTGGAGAGCGAGAGCAGATTGGGTTCAAGCTGACAGGATGTATGTGGATGAATGAAGACCCAAGTCCTAGCCTGGCGAATACTCAAGCAGGCAATGTCTCAGAACTTTTCGTCTTCGTGCCGCACAAGTTCATGGCATGGCTCTCAATATCGACCAGAACAGGGAAGGTAGGGAAGTACTGTGCCCGTGCTGGACATTGCCATAGGATCAGGAAAACTGTCCACCCTCTTTCCCCATCGTGATATTTAAGGAATCGAGCAGAGAGATGTCCTTTGGTTGTGACGACATTGGAAGTGCTCCGAATGGTCACGTCAGTATTAACATGGAACTTGAGAACTATAATTTTCAACCGAGGATGAGATTACATTGAACCGGACGAGACGGGTGTAAATTGTCCGACCATTTACGGATGAATCAGAAGTGCAGGTCTATGAAGATACTTGACGCACACGAAATACGTTGGACAGGCGAGTCACAGCTGTGGTGGTGAGTTGATAGAATGTCTAGTCAGTGGGACGGAGCTCGATCGAGTACAGATGCTGAAGAAGACGGAGAGGAACATAGTTCAGCTCAGCGGCACTGACCAATTTGGACTCCACCTTCCACCCTCCACCCTGGAGAGTGGACCCATCCATTAAAAAGGCCCCTCCCTCGCTCCCTCTGCTTTAATGTCTTCGTGAATGATTGAAGACTGACTCCTCTTGGCAGCCGAGAGACCCGTGCCACGTCCCAGACGATGCCCGAGCTCACTGCCGCTTCGTTGACTCGGTTTTAAAACACCAGAACAGAACATGTAGACGAGTGAGATGAGTAGATGAGTGGGTGTCGCCATCGCCCGTCTGAACAGAGAAGCAGGTCCAGCCTGCCTTGCTGCCTGCACGCACGAGAGCAAGCATATGCTCCTCCTGACGTGCCGAGGCCAAGGCGAGAACCGAGGTGAGGACATGCTCTGTCTGTCTGCATCTGTCTGTCTGTCTGGCTCACTAGTACTCGGAAGGATGACATCTCACAAGACATCTCCTCTGCCTCGACTGCCTCGGCAGTAACCAATACCTCGACTTCTACTCGGAAGTTCGCTGCTGCAGTCGCTGCCTCCAGTCCTCCAAGCCCCAACGCAGTGAACTACCTGCCATGGCTGCTGCCCACCCCCCCTCGTCCACATGTGAGCTTCTATTCTCTGCGTGTTTCTCTCCGTGCCTAATCTCACACGAAGATTTGTCTGCACGAAGAGAGAATGCAGACCAGATCGGACCAGATCGGACCAGATCAGACGGGACCGGACCAGAGAAGACAAAAGACCGGAGGCGGTGGTTCCTGCAGCAGTAGCTAGAAGACATAATTTGTGCTCAAGGACTAGTTCTGCCACTTTTGGGCCTCACCTCAATGATGGACTTTCATCTGCTGCTTTTAGTAGATAAACGCCTGATCCGAACAGCAGGCGCATGGCATGGAGTGCCCTTGAAAGCATGCCGGCAACCGTAGGGTCGTGCTACCCCCGGGCTGCGAAGAGCAATCCGTAAAATTTGTAGAAAATTTCGACTTTGCAAGACCTGGACGGACGCCGAACCAGGTGCATGTCGATGAAAGTCGTTCAGACCTAGTGGAACGAGAATCTGTCAGCTCCCAAGCAAGCTTGCGTGCGTGGGATCAGTTGGAGTGGCTGTGGCTGTGGCTGGATCCGGGAGGAGCACTCAGGGCTGCATGGTCTCGTGATTGAAGGGCTCAGGGCATAGATTGGTCGGTCGATCGTTCGATCAGGCAGATTCCAGCGTTGGCATCAGTCGGAAGAAGCTGAAGAAGAGAAGATGGGCGAGAGGGACGGCCTGAGGCAGAGCTTTTTAGATCCAGAAGAAGGGCAGAGGCCGGACGGGCCGGATGACGATTCGAGCGGATTGAGTGAACAATTTGCCCGAGTGGCAGATGCGTGGCGGAAGCAGAGACAGTCCGAATGGCTGCAGTTCGGGACGAGCACGACGGAGCTGGAAGAGAGCAGGGCGCCGTGGAGAAAAGAGCTGGGCGAAGCTCTGGAAGCCACGCCGGCGCACGTGGTCATCGTGGTTCTGCTGCTGGTGGATCTGCTGGCGACGGTGGTGGACATACTGAAAACGGTTCACAATAAGACTCACGATCTGAGCACCTGTACTGCTTACTTGCAGGAATGCCAATGCGTGCAGGACTTCGAGAAATCGGAGTCCTGGGAATTTCTGTACTGGATCTCCATCAGTATTTTGAGCATTCTGGCGCTGAATATTGTGGGCCTGTTGGTGGCCTTCGGCACCGCCTTCTTCCGCCACCCTGGATATGTCCTGGATCTCGTGGTGGTCGGTACTGCTCTTGTGTTGGAGATCTTCCTGGATTCCGACACCGTGGGTTTGTTGATAGTGTTGACTCTGTGGCGCATCGTCCGAGTAGCCCATGGCATATTTGAGGTGACTGACGAAGCTTGGGAGAAGCAGATCGATACGTTCAAGGAGCAACTCAAGGCTGCAGACTCCAAACACTACGCAGATCAAGAGCTCCTTCGACAAAAGGATCAACAGATTGCCGAGCTGAGTGGACAGCGCAATGGGCAGGAGAATCAGTACTACTGACTCCCCCGCGTTGCGACCCCCAGGCACTGAAACTCGTGTCGGGCCGGATCTCTGCCATACTCGCTACAAGGACCTGGAAATTCTCGTCTCTCGGGCTTTGGCGAAGCTAGCGATCGCCTCGTACGTTCTGCGAGTCTTCCGTCGATGAGAAAAAGCAGAAGCCATGAGAAGTGACTGTCAGTCCCGTTGGATGCGAGAGTTGGTGTGCTTCTCTTGAATAACTTCTGCAGTTCGAAGTTAGAGACGGTAGAGAAACGGGCATATTGCTCGGGTTGTTTATGACTTTGCGAATCTTGTTTCCTCACGTGCTTTCCCCCCATACTCATCAGCTGACAACAATCTTTCGTTTTAAATCTAGACTTCAGGTGTCTTTTTCGTTAAAATCTGTCGTTGTTTACTGGTACTGCTGGCAACAAGTAATAATATCCTCCTCTTCAACTTCTCGCGCCTCAGCTTCAGCTCGGTGCATGCATGGGACTTGATCCTGATGCCACTCTTGTACTCAGTCGGCCCTCACTTGCCTATCTGCCGGAAACCATCAAACTTTTGGGAAGAATGGATGCGGGAGGGGCACTTGTGCATAAACGAAGCTGAGCAAGATATCTAATCCACTTCATTTCACACGGGGAGTTTTGGGATCTGGCAAATGAGCTAAGAATGTCATGACACTGTCACATTTTTAATTCTCGCATTCATGACTTCAAGCACGCGAATTGCATCTTCATGAACGGTAAACCTTTCATATTTATGCTCCACCCTGTGGAAGTTATGAAAGGGACCACCGTCGGACAAACTTTATTCATCCGCACTGTCATGGAATGAGAAGCTACGCAGGAGTTTGACGTCCGTCAATAATGTACATGATACACAGCTCTACACGACGCTACCGAAGGAGCTAGGAAACAGCTGCATTTTCACGTCACTGCCATGATACTACTCACAGATCCCAGAGTAATATTCAAGCAGCGAATCGTGAATGCTTGACTCTTGACCTTAAACCTGTACAGGGGCATCTCGATGTTGATCCGGATGGTCCGATATTGCTCAATAATGAGTAGTTAACTGGTGCAGATAGCGAAAGACTTCGTCCTGATCACGAGTCCCGGATCTCCTCTACGTATACTTTGTGGCTGGGTCATTTAGCCTTGTAGTCTACCTCTAACCTGTGGACGTTCCAACCCTCTAGGACAAGAACAGGTGTGATGTGTTTTGGAACCTTGAAGGAGATCTGCACCGTGAGGGATTCTTCCGGCACCAAGGAAAAGTAATTGACAGAGTATGTGACGGGAAGAAGCCGTTGATCGGCCTTGTGCTTGTCGTAAGTCCCTTGCAGCACAGAGAAGTGGAGCCAGAAGGCAACTCCTCTTCCAGAAGTATCGTCAACTCCCTGGCTCAGTGAACCTTTCGGTGATGTCTCGCTGGGAGGTATGTTCTGCACTAGAGCAGTGATTTGCAGCAGGTCCCCCTTTTGTTGCGAAGAAGCAGCGACCTGAACCGGAACCTTTTTCACTCGAAAGTCAGCGCCAAGTAGAGAGTAGTCTCCTCCTTGAGGGTGAAGCCAATAGAAATTTCTGGACACCTGGAGACCTGACTCGTCGAAGAGTTTCAAAAGAACAAAGTAAGTTCCCTTCGTTTCTGTAATACTATTGAACCGAATCTGGGAAAGCTTCGTCGTCTTGAATGCATCCAACATCAACTGCTTCGATGTTTCCTTGTATATGCACTGGCCTTGCACGTCCCACATGCTGGCATCTAACCAGGCATTTGCAAGACGGTCGGATGTAGCGTTCGCAACCTCCACAAAACTCGACCCCAGATTGAGCTGTACATGTACCGGCTCAGCAGCTGACTTAACACCATAAAATCCTCCCGTTTGATCCAGGAGAAAATCATAGAGCCCACCACGTAGGCCAGGCCAAGGGTTCTGATTCTTCCAGATCAGAACACCAGTATACTTCTCCCACATCCGAGAATTCCAACCCTCGAAAAGCGCCTTGTACTGCACATAATTGGCAAGCTGAGCTTTCGCACAGAAATCGTCCAAACCGGTGTACTTACCATAGGTGCATATCTGACTCTTGACGTCATTCTCAGGATCACAATATGGAATATACTTGTGGTAGTCCCAGGTTTTGTTCGGCACATCCTTGATGTAACCTCCTTCCACCTCCTGCATAGTCGGCGGATCCCATGCCGTGGGAGGCATGGTTGCTCGGATGGTTGCAGCGTTGGGGACTCCCACGGAGCCGATCTCAGGATTGAAGCCGAAAGAATAGTAATCGTCTGCGAAGAAGTCTTCCGGGTTCTGGATACCGTAAGGCCCATCAGACCAGTCTCCCTGTCCTTCTCCGAACCCACTCCAAAGAGAGCCTTGAACGTATGTGCGAGTGCCATCCAGGAATTGTGTGACATCCTCTTCCAGGACTCGGGACTCCCCAGAGTCGCTTCCAAAGCTGGAATTCAGCCGCAACTCATACTGCAAAGCTTGGTTAATGTCCGCAGCCGGGACCTGCTCGTTGCCACCGACCCACAGAGCGAGACTGGCATGATTCCTTAGCAGCTTGACGGTATCCCTGGCACAGCGCAAGAACAAGTCATGATCTAGAGGCCAGCTCTGCTCCGAGGGTTCAACACCCCGCCCATTGCAGTCGCCGGTGATCCAAAACTCTTGCCATACTAGAAGTCCGCGCTCATCACAGGCATCGTAAAATGCCGGCCTCTCGGCCAGAGCTCCGGCCCAAACTCGGATCATATTCATGTTCATGTCAGCATGAAAGCCCACATCGGTATCATATCTGTCTTTGGACAGCCGAAGCAGAGCATCAGACAGGATCCAATTCCCTCCCCGGATGAACACCGGCTGTCCATTCACGACAAACTTCCTCCCTCCTGTAGCGGGATCGATGTGTGTCTCGATCTGCCGGAATCCGATCCGATGGCTCCACACGTCAGACTCCTCGTATCCATCCACGCTGACCGTGATCTCCACCTTGTACAGAGGCTGCTTGCCCATGCCATTCGGCCACCAGAGCTCAGGCTTGTTAAAAAACAGCGGCGGAAGAGTGTAGACGGTCGAGGAGCCGGCTTTGATCGAGAGCTGGGACGAAGCAAAGCCCTCCACAGAGCAGAAGCCGTCATCGCCATCGCCATCGGCATCTCCAGCTGCACCTGTCGCTTCGTCGTGCAGGTCCAGAGTGACATGGATGCTGATAGAGCACTGCAAATCGGCAGCAGAGGAGTTTACCAGCTCTGCCGATGATTCCAGATAGCTCCTCGGGAATTGATCGTAGAATGTGGTCACCAGATGGGGGTCCCGGATGGACACAGGCCCCGTGAAAGCCACGGAGACCTCGTCCCAGAGCCCAGTGTTGCGGTCTCGGATCGGAGTCATCCAGTCCCAGCCCAGAACGTATTGGGCTGCAACATCCTTGGCAATGTCGTGGTTCCCTCCCTGCCCTCCCTCGGGAGGAACTGCGCCCGGATGATCGGGAGGATGCACAATCACAGCGAGCAAATTCTGCCCACCGGGAGCCTTGACGCAGGATGAAATGTCCACGCTGTGTCGCATGAACATTCCGCCGGGCAGGCGACTCTGCTGTCCATTCACGTACACTTCGGCCGAGTAGTTGATGGCCCGGAACTTGAGGTGCACCGACGAGAACTTGCCCGTGGGCGTCTGGAAGCTCGTGCAGAACCAGAATGTGTAGTGCTCGCGTCCTGCATCGGCGATGTCCGGAATGTTCTCATTCTCCATTCCATAGAATGGATCGGGGATCTGCTTGTTCTTCAGAAGCGTGGCCAGAACCGTCCCCGGCACTTCTGCTTGCATCCAGCCCTTGGTCGTCGAGCTGGGAAAGTGAGAAGTGCTCAGCTGCTCGCCTGTTGGCCCTACTTCTGAGGCCCGAGCAGCCACCCATCCCTCGACCAATTTGATTTCCATCCCCGTCAATCCCCCACAAAAGCTTGGCAATCGATTGCCGTGCCGACAGGCCAAATTCTCTTCGTGCGCCTTGGCAACTTTCTCTCAATGCCGCATGGACGGACTCAGTCTGATCAGCGAAACCGTCTCCGACTTCCAAGGCTTTCTTGTCATTCCTCGGCTTGTCTTTCAGACATCGGCTACTCGTCGATCTGGCCACAGTGGACAGCCCGCGACAGCTCTGAAAGCTCGAGGCTACATCAACAACCGCTGCAAGAACTCCGCAGGATCCAAAAGGTCTTGGGCTTGGGCTTGGGCTGGGGCTTGGGCTGTACACGAACGATCAGCTAGCTCGACCGGAAGCGAAGCGAAATGATTCAGCACGGGAATCACGCGCACAGGAGAAACCAATCATATCACAGCTGCAATAAAATACATCTTCTTCGCCAATCCGGGCTCAACAGCCAGACGTAGAAAGTCGAGGCGTTTGAGGGCGAGCAGAACCCAAGAAGCAGACGGAGCATTTGAATCCTCATACTGCCTTGCAATGCAACAACCACGTTAGCGATGAACCTCGATGGCTTCCCTGTCGGCAGCATACGAATCATCCAGGAAAAGAAGCATCTCCTACTCTCATGCCATGCCGAGAATAACAGCTTGCTGCATGCGGAATTTCCATCGCAACTGCATCAGAAAAGTAAGGCCGTATCCCTCCCGCAGAAAGAATCTCGTCTAATTCGCTTCCTTATCCGTATCTTGGTGACCACGATAGGGCACAAAGGACGAGAATTTCGTGCGGGTACAATCAGTGATTGAGCGACTGAGAAACGCAGATCCTTTTGATGATGTACATCTAGGACGGTCTTAGCAGCTCACGACGCCCTCAGAGTACTAAGGGAATTAGGAAGGCCCAGAGGGTTCGGAGTAATTGAGGAAGGACACAGGAAGATGACTGGAAGAGCAAACAAGGCCTCGTGCAGTCGATAGGAATCCCGTGCGGACGAAGAAACCTGGTGCCAATCACCAGGATCTTTCCCTCGACCTCCTCCTTCTACGGTTGCGGATGCAATCATTTAAAAACCTCTCGTGTCTGTTTCGCTCATTGCAGACCTGCAGGCAGCATCATTGGTTCTTGAAATCACGTCCACACTGCAAGAGGTCAATCTTGATGAAACGAGTGTTCAGAGTTCAGGGACTCAGTAGGGAATACCTCTGGAACCACTGACTGGGGTGGGTGGCCGCTCTCTTACGAGGTGTAAGATTTGATTCCGGATGTCCATTGACAACAAGTGCCATATCGCTGACGGCCAGTCTCTGATGTCGATCTGTCCCTGCCCCCGAGATCCATCCGAATGCTGAGGTGGTCTGCGACATTGATTGGACTCTTGCAAATTTTTACGTACGACAAGATTTAGGTGCGCAAGGTGAGCGCACCGTCAATTTACCAGGCCCACGATACTCCCGATTGGCAAATGCAGATCCTGCGATGGCAGCTGGCTTCAATCATGGGAGTGAAAGGGTGCTACAGATGTGATTTTGACTGTCACAGCGACATCTAGAGTTTTGGGCTGACGCTCCAGCAAACATTTTCAGCACACAGTTCCTTCCTGATGAAGAAGGTACCACTGAAATTCCACGAGCTTTTCATGTAAGCGCCCAGTGTTCGCTAACAGCTCGTCAAATCCGGGGCATACACCTCTGTAGATAATCAACACATATACTTAGGGGGAGTTTAACGCCAGCACACTAGATTGCACAGAGATTTGAGATTTGAGAAGCTTGATCGGACCCTTTTCGTCCTTCAGGAACTACGGAAGCAAGTTATTATTTTTAATCGAAGTTGTGTAAGATTTCTGTAGACGCGTTGATACTTCGTTGAATACATGGCTGTTTGAGCAAACGGTGTGGGTTACAGTGTCAAAGTACACAAACCACTTAAAGGAAAGAATGTTACCTGACAGTAGGAGAGCTATTTATTTCCATCCACAATCTCACAAACATTCGGGCGACACCGAGACATTTAAGTCAGGTGCTGACTAAAAGTGATTGCCACTGTCGAATTTCTGATTTAAAAAAACTAAAGGGTCCTCCCTTCTACCTACGCTAAAACGAGCACCAACGATGAAGTCCTTTTGGACTTGAATTTCTGAATCTGTCTGCTCCAGGTTACGAGAAGTAACCATGATTCCACCCATACATCGTGCACAAGCCTTCATCTTTGCCGAGACAATCAAGAGACTTCTTAGTGCCTGTGTTCCCTAACTAATTTTGCAACAGCTCAAGTGCCGCTTGCGAAGAGTAGCCGTACCAATTCCTCGTCTCTGACTGGAATAAATGGATTCAACTCTGAAAGTACGTACGGTGCAGGTCAGCAAGAAGGGGTCCAGGTGCTCTCGGGGTCATCTTGCACATTAGCCTTTTCTGAACAATCCTAATACAATGTGAAGGCTGTGAGCTCTTATTATTGCATCACAACCTCTCATCAACCGAGCCGAGCTTGATATTAAATTAACAGCGAGATAACATTGTGTACAAGCACCAGGAAACGCCACATCGTGACGACGAACTTTTGATCGTTCCTGGCTGGCTGACTGACTGACTACAAACTCAGTAGAGTGCTGTAGGTGGAAAAGAGGCATCTTTCAGGAAGTTGCTATCTGTTATGGCCTCCTTGAACTCTTCAAAATTATTCTTCCCTGCCTCTGTAACGTCCGGTAGCAAGTGTTCGTCTGGTAATGCCCGTAAAATTGAAGGAATGGCTTTAAAAGCAGGGAGCGTGTTCTTTCATCGACGTTGTAGAAGTAAAAGCCACGCCGGAAGCTGAATGTTGAACACAGGTTGCAGTACATTTGCAGCTCCATCAAGGGAAGTGTTCAGAAAGGAAATCAAGGTCTGTAGGTTAACAAACCCGTAGCATGGACGCTAGTTCTCTCGTGAGATGAAGCCAGAGCGATCGGTATCATACAGCTACATAAGAAAAAGAAAACGATCAGAGAAGCAGTTTTTGGATGAAGCAGCAGCAGCAAATGTGGCCTGAGATACTCTTTCATCGATATCGTCTAACTAGTGGGCACAATTTGACAAATAATTCATTGAGCTTCTAGTTTAAGCAGCCGAGTTAAGACATCTCTGTCGTCTCAGTCCGATGGTTGGGTTTCGTTCTTTAAGAAAGGCCTACCTGAAAGCGGAGTCTCAGACCCTCATCTCCGTTGCCTTATTCAGAGAAGAAGCCGACGATAATCTCTCTCATGTCCACGCAACCATCTTTGTTGCCGTCAAAGAGGTCAAAAACGCGTTGTGCCATTGTCACCAAGCTCGCCAAGTTCATGGCCTTCAGCACATCCTCAAATCTTCTCCCTTGCTCCGTCTGTTGAACTGCATGAAAGAACTTCGATGAGATCCGATTGAGTTTCAAAACATCGAAATCCCACAAAGCAACTGCACTTCTTTTCCATGGCATTAGACACACACTGACTTGTCAATGGGTAGCCCTCTGCAGACTTTGTAACCCTGTAATGCCTCGAAATGGACTGACGCGTGACGCAGTCTCTCAGAAGACGGACATTTTACAATTGAGCTTCCACTCAAACAGGAAGCTCAATAAGTCTGGTCGCACCCCCAAGAAACCTCCTACGCATCTCCTCTAGTCTCTCCCCATAGAGCTTTAGAGCTTCAAAGGAGAGAGGGGTTTCAGTCATAGAAGTAGACAGTGAGAGGAACACCTCTCGTGAACAAAACTCGATATGCGGAACTGAATTTTGAAGGAGGAGGCTTTGAGAACAAAAAAATTTCCGTCAAGTGCGCATAAGAAGTGTTTTTGTACTGAAGAGAAAGTGCTACAGGGACTAAGATGTCTCTGAAATGTGTTTGAAGCTTTCCAAGATCTTCTTCGCTGATATTTTATTCGAGCCGACAAGCGTCTTCAGCTTTCTAGTCCGAAGGAGGACCTTGCTACTGAAGATACTTGCAAATCCTGCAGCACGGAATTTGCGACGTGCATTTAGAGATTGTATACGCATGATGACATCTTGCCCATAGGCTCCCTCTTTGCAGCATCAGCATAGAAGTAGAAGAAGTAAATGCAGATCCCTTACTTATGTTACAAATTACCGTCTGATCGATCGTAACAAAACCAAGGCTCGGACTGGAAATTGAATACGAACTGACTAGCGATTGATCTGGCTAGAATTATATGGTGATCTTGATTATAGGGTTCACAATTCCCGTAGTACATCATCTACTACCTCAAAAAAATTCAGACATGACTGAAATGATAAACTCCATCTCACCATCTCAAGCCAGAATCGCAAGAAAATGCCACAATCATCGTGGCAAACCGTACGCTTTCACAACAGACTCGGATTCACATAGGGCTTCCAGCTCTTCAAAGACAGCACAACACACAGTAAACATGCGAACTGTCATTGTCCTGAAAGCCTCGAGACACAAGGAAGAGCTACCTCTGCCGCGGAAGGTCCGTAGCGAGGATTCACTGCCAATCAACTTCCGATGAGTTGCTTTGCAGATGACGTGACTTCGTTCCAAAGTTCCCAAGGTCAACCTTCAACTTTTCCATGCGAAGAATTTCTATAGGTTAGAAAGCAACAAGATCCTGGCAGTCTCCTATCCATTAAACAACTGCAGTTATTCTCTCCCGCAACTGAACAGAGAAGCTTGGCTTACCGAGAGGATCAGGTTCTGCTTTTCTCTGTTTGTTCTTGCATGGAAAAGGGAATTACTGCACTTCAGCGCAGGTATCCTCGACCCCATCGTCTCGTGGATCCTACAGCACTGCTAATAGCATGCTTCCTACGTCCCTGCAGACAGAAATGTTGGAAGGTTGCCATGTCCAGTCAAACAGCAGCGGCCCCTGCTCGGGCACAAAAATTTGCAGATATCGGAATTGAATTGTTTGTGCTGGAGGTATTTGTATGACGGCCCCAAATGTCCACAAGCAGCGGCAAGCTATAGGAGCTTGGAAACAACTTGCCCTCGGAGGAGAATGTACAAGATGACCCCCAGTGACCACATATCGCTAGCTGATAGCACGGCTTCCGGCAGAAGGGCTTCTGGAGCAACGTAGTAGATGGATCGAAATATCCCAACGACTGGACTCGTGACTCCGTCTATGCGGCTGAGTCCAAAGCCCATGATGTTCAAAGGTGAAGCCTGAGCAGGAGCAAGAAACAGGTTTCATTTCACTGTGGAAATTTCATTTGAGCTTGGTGCAGACTGGCGAGGCCACTAGCAATTTGACGAATGACTTCAGCAGCTCCTGCTTTGGAGTATCCTTTCTGAGACGAATCGTCGACAAATCGTTTCGTAACAATGATCTCTCGTTGGCAAGGAGAGCACCCGAGAAGGGCACCTCTGTTGTGCTGGCGGTCGTTTCTTGTTTCCATTTTACTCCAACACCTCCTCCACCACAAGCAAACTGTTGGTGGAGGCATTTGGCCCGAAGCCCATTCCCATGCCATGTTTCTTCGAAAATTTTGTGGCCACAATCGCCCCATCTACTAGTTCATGCCTTGGCGCACCATTAAGAATCCACCGCTGCCCAGTATCTTGCCCATTACATCTCATCATCTACTCTTCCTATCTGCCCCACATGATAACATCTACTACTCCCGAGTTGGCCGGATGGTTAGAATCTTCCAGCATCTACACCTCTTGCCTTCATTTTCAATCCGTGTGATCCTGGCACCAATTCCTGAGCCCCAAAACATTTTCTCGTTTTGTAAGAGATTGCCTCTGCCACCACACACGGGAATCAGCCTGGCGAAGATATCGTCGATTCCACACGCCTCATCAAATTACTCGCTCACTCAAGTAGTTTGGTGTGCTTCCGCTGCCTACCACCTGCCACCTGCCACGACCATCAAGCGTCGAAACCATCTGTGTTTCAAAACACAGATGGTTCTAATTCTCGGCCCGGGAAATTCAGGAGCTTTCATCATCGATCGGCATTTCATTCCGACCAGAGTTGCAGAACCGAAAGGAGTGGGAGCAAACCCAGCACTTCCTTGCTGAGCTGTCAATGAGGCTAGATGAGGTGGCGGGTTACGTGTGCATCGATCTGAGAAATCCTTCAACTTGCGCATTTGTTATAAAGTCCCCGCCACAGCTCGTACTAGTTCGTTGCCAGAACAAATCGCTGGCAAACACGCTCTGCTCTTAGAGCCATCACTCCTGGTCTCTAGACCAGATGAACAAACTTGTGCACTTGTGGCTCGGTTTTTTGTCTCCCCTCTCGTTCTTGTTGGCCGAGATTGGGTCACACATTGCGACCTTGGTGGCTCTGGCTATTGTACTTGGCTCCTCCCCCTTCTCTATTTCAAGGAACAATTTCGTATGGGTTTTTAATACTGTTAGTATAAAATGTGATCTCTATGTTTACTTTTGATTAAATTTATCAAAGATTGTTTTTTATTGAATGTACATACTTTAGAAATCAAAAATTCAATTATATGTAAGCGTTTCAAATACATTTTCATATATTTTATCTATCCATTATTTACATCTAATATTTCAAAATATTTTGAGTGAATAGAAACAAGAAACATCGTTTCTTGTCGCCTGAGTGAGTGAAATATTTTCTTGTGCAGATTGTTCTAGCTCTGTACATGTTCCCCGGACATTTACATTTCCGGGGAACATGTACATGTCAAAGTTTTAAAATGTGCATTGACCAGCAGTGAAATCTATTTTTAGATTTATGTAGATTGATAAGAATTATGTTACATCGATATTGACAATGAATATGATTTGGATAAAAGTTGTAGAACAAGATATATGTTTACATTTTGTGGTGGATGCATAAACTAAAAATCTATTTTGCATAATTGCATAGTTCATTCATAACAAAAATTGAATTGTGAAGAAAAAAGAAAAACTATTTGATTGAATATATTTATCATTGACATTAGATTGAAATAATAGGTTGTACGTATTTACCGTGATAGTATAAATGTATCACATCTTGTTACAAAATCAAGTGATGGGTAACAAAATGAAACTTATTAACATCTGATCAACTCATTTAACCAAAGATGTAATTTTTGATGAAAAAAAATTGAGCTAATCAAATTTAACTGGAAGTTGAATTTTATTGGTCAAAACTATATTCTGAAAAACTTAAGTAGACATTATGATACTATACAATTTTTGGATAAATAACAAAAGTAAAATTTACTAAAAATTTTATATTTTTTTCTCTATCATATTTTGGCTAGGGTTTGATTCTAGTTAGCTTTGGTTTGAAGGTTTCTATACATTAAAAATGGAGTGTACTATACCTGCAATACAACTTAAAAAAAACTGTTATTAATAATCTAAATAGGAAAATGATTTGAATAATTCATGTTTTAGGTTTACATTTCCTGATTACATAGGAGGAGTACAAGATGTATCTTGCTCCAAACATTATTTTTAGGTTTTTGAGCAAAGCTAATGTAAAGCTAACATAGCCCAGCAGAGGTGAATGAAGTATGGTTTGTGTCGATTGCCTAATCTTTGCTTTAGGTTTGCATGCTTTCTGATAATTGGTTGTTATACTTTAAACTTTGCATAATTGGAAAAAATGTAAGTCTTAAATTTGAAAATAAATAAATATTATCTATTTATTAATCATTATTAGTTCAATTTTTTATTTGATTAGGCTTAACATGTTCATTATCTTTTATCCTTACAGCATAGTACATTATCTTTGTTCTTTCAACAATGAAAATCATGTAGTTTGAGTTGTAAATAAATGTTTGCACATGGCATGTAACTCTAGTGTATGATTGTAATGAATATATGTTTTTTGTGATATTTTGGTTATGCAGTTGATATTTTATCACACAATGATATTGAGAATGTATACTTTTCTAATATTTTTTGACAAGGACCAATAATCTCATGAAGATAAAGTAATTTGCCATCACTTTGTTTATCTTCATCGAAAAAAAATTAAAGCTCGAAATACTTCATAAACTTTAATACTACTGATATGTTTATTACAAATTACAGAGAGGAGATGCAAATGAGGATGGTACACATGATCGTGACAAGCTCTTGTGACTTGGCTAGCTTAACTATACAACTCACTCTCATGTATAAAGACAATGAGCTTGTTCTTTTCTTGCTAAAGAAAAGTTGCAGCAAAGTTGCTAGTAGATCATTTATTTTCATAGGTTAGACAAAAGATAGATTAGAACTTTACTTTAATTGATAACTACATCAACTTTTTGGCCAAACTTGCAGATTTCTGCTTGTGGTTTTTCTTATTATCATCTTTCATATTTTTTACGAAATTTATAATCAAAAAAGTATCTGATTTATGTCTTTTATGTAACTTTGAAAATATATATATGTTAATTGAAGTGAACAATTATTGTTGGATTTATCAGTCATTAAGATCTAATGTTTCGTACTCTTCTCTTCAATCTTACTATCCAAAGGATGTCTACAACGATTTTTCTCTCAATGCAAGATTGTTAACAAATGGTAGGCTTTCGAACAATAAGCTGAACGACCCACTAAGTTAAAAAGTATCGCCTTGCAAGATCACGAAAGATATCAAAGATAAAGGTAGGAGGTGGAATGCTAAAAGAGTCTAGAGTAAGACCCCTCCACCTTGTACTGCAGATGCAAAGTGGATATGATAATGTTTTTAAATGGCTGTGAGTATCCAATTCATCTGTTTCTACATACGTGTTTGATACCAATTCTCCGATTTAGTAATTGTAGATACCTGAAATTTTTTTAACGATCTTCAGATAAGACATACTTGTGGGATACTATGGCAACCATCAGTATTTGCGGAAGTAGTAAAAGATGCAAATTATACCCATCAAAAGATCCAAATTCTATTGTTTCTGATAAAAGGCCGAAATGTCACCTGATAAAATCTTCATTTGTATAAGGTGGATGGGAGGAATATCTGGAGGGATGGATATGCGTATTTTGTGATGTTGGGACAATGCAATTGTCAGCTTTAATTTCATGCGACAGTTGCATGGGACATGTCAGAACGGCTTTGGATGCACATAGCGAGATTCAAGACTTCTCAGTTGATGTATACGAAGAACATTCAACAATGTGCGCGTGGCCGCTTGCTTATAGATATTTCAGACTTCTCAGCTGATGCATACAAAGAACATTCAACAATGTGCGCGTGGCCGCTTGCTTATAGATATTTCCGGGAATTCAATGTCATATATTTTTCTTTCTTCCGCGCATATTACAAAAGAGGTCTAACAAATATACCTCATAGATATTTTCTACTCTCATAATATCGACACTACTTTTCAGATGGTGATTACACATAGCGGTCGGCCCGGCTCGGCTGGAGCCGTTAGTACATGGAGCCGGCTCAGCTCGGAGCCGATCGCCATGACAGAAGCCGGCTCGACCAAGTCGTAGCCGAGCCGGTCTGAAGCCGGCTCAACCCGGCTCGACTACGTCGGCTGAGTCGAGTCGACTGAGCCGGCCCGGCTTCGGCGGAGCCGGCTCGAAGCCGGCTCCGCCGAAGTCGGGCCGACCCCTACTTACACAGAGTAACTGTCGAGAATCATTTTGAACGCGTCTTATTTTCGCACTGTCTACGAAGTACGACTAAATTGCATGTCTCTGAAAGACGTGACAGTAAGTACTTCCTAGCTGTTGGTAACAAGCACTAATTTATGGCGTCACATGACGTTTTTAAGGAAACGGTTCACGACAATCTACTTGTCAGTCAGAATAATCATCTTTCCTCATGAATCAAACTTGGATTCTAATAGTACAGTTTCGGAGTAAATGCACTCAACGTTTATACAAAAATGGCGAATCTGAATTATAGATTGCGCAATTTGTAACGAATTTCTACTGCTACGGGCGGCTGCAGTGTCTTGGACTGATGTCGCATAATTCTTCTCCAACAGAGATCTGTACAGTTCTGGGAATAATTTGGCCAAGGTGACCACATACAGTTACAGAGTCGAATTCATTGTTGTTGCTGCTGTTCCAGATTGATCTCGGAACCATCTTCGAAATATGAACCTTCCTGCAACCACTCAGGTTGAGTCTCGGCCCATGACCTCGGAGCAACTCCATAATTGGAATGAATGAACGCTTCTAGGCTCGGGAAAATCCGATTCTTGTCGAGAAAAGGGTTCCACAAGCCACTGACAATGCAATAATTGATGTCATACGGAGATCGGTGGTGAGCGCCGTGCATTTTCCTCGACACGAGAATTCCTCTATCCTGTAAAGCTATAACTAATGGGGGCAGCTGACTTTTCTTCATGTGAGACCAAGCGTGGAATTGCTGGCTCATGACCACAAATCCGAGAAACAATCCCAAAAATGTGTCCAAAGCCGGATTGCTGGGGAGAGCCAAGAAGGGAGCGAGAAAGAGTGCGACGGGCCGTGCAATGGCATGAATGTTGTTGGCGAACTGCCTTTTGGTGATAGTCCAAGGGCGCTTGTGGTGGCCTTGAAATGCGTCGATCTGAGAGCCGAAGACGGGAGTCTTGGCGTCCCCGTAGTTGTCGACGCCCCAGTGGTACACTCCCGTTCCCAGGTCCGAGAGCGAATAAGCTGCCAGAGCTGAGACGCAAATTACAGCTGCGTCCTCGGGGCTGTGAGACGCCGTCACCGCTTTCGCGAGCAGTCCCATCACGGACGCCGCTCCTGCCCCGACCCACAACCTGTGCTCCATGGTGGACTCGAGGCTCGTGTCGCTGAGACCCATCTTGGAGCCCGACAGAGCCCCAGCCTTCTTCTCCACCACTACCTGCTTCGTGGCCGTCTCTCCCTGCACCTGCTTCGACGGAGGCTCGGCCAGCACCGCGCCAATCGAGCTCTGCCCATTCTTCCTCGACAGACCGCGGCAACGTCTTGAATTTGACGTCTTGAATTTGAAAATGGGCTGCCCGCGCTGAGAGGTACTCCGAAGCGGGTTGAAGCTCGGCGTCACCGCTACCGCTCTGCCGGCACGAAGCCCGCAGGTCGCCACATCGAGACACGCCATCCTTCCGGTCCTCGCTCAATTGTGGCAGGACGCCGCTGGAGTTTCCTCGAGAAGTTGATTTTCGGGTTGTGCTCGCACTGCGAGGAGAAGCCAGATACTGCCCAGCGACGGGAGTGCTGCAGTGGAAAATCCTGTTGAGCTGCTCGGCTCCGAGGAGGGGAGAAAAACTTGCTCGGATTCGGTCCTTCTCGGAAATGTATCTGGATTTCAGAAGAAGGCGATGGAAGCCTGTAATTGAGGGGAGCTGTCCTTATGTTCCTAGTTCGGGAGAAATTGAGGCCGAAGAAAGGTCGAGCGAGCTGCGGAAGGAGAGCGGAGTGGCTGTGATCGCTCTCCTCCACAACTTGCAGGGCAGACAGGACTTTGTCTCTGGGAGCGAGCAAAATACTCCGAGGAAGGAAGGAAGGGAGGAATGAGAGCAGCAGCCGAGAGACTTCTCGGCCACAGGAATTCAGAGGGCGGGAGTCGTGTCTACACGAGACCCTGAGAGCACACGTGGGTCGATGCCTGGCACCGCAACCGCTGTGTGATCGAGCCGGCAAAGGCGACTTCTGTCCGCATTGCGCCCGCTCGCTGTGGGGAGTGCGTGCCTCGCCTCCATTCTTCGATTGCAGACCTCTCGCAGTCAGTTCAGAGCCTCGACGTCGCCCGCACCCGAATGCATGATCGTCCTCTATTGACCCACGTTCATTGGCTCAGAGCCAGGTATTGTGCCACGTCCATTCTCGAGCGATCTCTCGTTTCGTCTATTCTGCGAAAGTCCATCCTTTGCGTTCCGAGCTTTTGGACTCGCTCTGCTCATTGTCATCCTCTCGTTCTGGGTCAGCATCGGCGATCAGTTGTCTCGGCAATTTGGTATGACACCGCCCCGTGAAGAAGACTACTTGCTCAAGAGAAATTCCTATTTATTTTGGATATCGTAGAGGGCGTTGCTAGCTAACATCACTTGTGTCTTTTGTGACTTGAACTTCAAAGCAGGTTTGGTGTCATCTCATTCCCTTCTGGGACTCCCCCTCCAGCGGACGGGAAGCCATTAATAATTTCTGTGTTCGAGCACATCTTGACCTCTCCATTACAATCCCAAGTTTGTGGCAAGGGTGAGCATTGTCTACCGGTATTCACGGCGAATGGCTTTATGACTACGTGAGTACCGCTTCCCGATTTCAAAAGAAAATCTTGGTCGCTATTCGCAAGTACCGCTTTAAACCAAGCAATTTCCTTCACTTTGAAATATAATTAGTTTCGTTCACTTGCCAAATAATGTATTCATATAAACTATTTAATTTTCATTTTTTTCATTTTGAATATTATTTTATTAAAAAATTATCACTTAACTTGAAAAAAATCGAAATTTCCAAAATAGTATCTTCAAAATGTGTATAATTTTCTAAATTTCTTTTGATGCGAGTGAATATATTTGGATTCACAAATTAATTTCTAAAATTAAGTATTAAAATTCTAAGATTGAACATCATCTTTATTATTGTAATGATATTTTTTCACATTTTCCTTGAGTACTAATTAAAAATGACATGTTTTTTGAATTTTGAAATTTATTTGTCAACAATTAATTATATGCATGATACATTTTTTATCTTACCAAATTTAATTTAATTTTCATAAATATATTGGTAAATTTTGAATCATATTTAGATTCTAAAATATCTAAAAAGTACTAAGGATTTTGGTATTTTATTTAATAGGTTACGTCAAGAGTAAAATTTTAATTAGATGTGTGTTTATTTGATGATAAATGCATTAGTTGGAAAACTATTTTATATGATTGTGATTCAATTTACAACAGAAATTGAATATGTAATGATAACAAAGATAGCAAAGTAAACTTTATAAGTAATGATAAGATTGATCTATCAAATAGATAACATGGATGGTAAACATGAAATTGTTAATTTTTGTTATAATATTCAAAGTGTAATACACCTTGTTGCAAATCTAATGATATACAGCAAAGTGAAACACATCAAAATGAAGTTTCATTTCATCAAGAATGCAACGTGTGATATTGAGCTAATAAAGATTGGAGATAAATTCAATTCAGTTGATTACATTTATTTCTTTTGAGAGTTTTAGTATAATTTTACTACTAGGCAAGCTTTGCATGAGAAATACATGTATAGTTTATTAACAATTTTTATTGCCTCCAAATGTTTTTATTATATCATGTTTTGGCTGCGAATTAGTTTCAATTACTTCTAATATAAAGAGTTATCTACGTTAGATGTAACACTAAATATCAAAATTAGATATCACTCGAAAACAAAACACAACTCTTAAGATGAGAGATAAACTAAAATGATTATATTCTTCTTTATATAGATATTACCAACAAGAACTAGGAGATAAGATCTCATCGCAATCATCTCTTTCATTCATAGTGGATTGATAATATGGTGGATAATCTTGACAAGCACACTGATGATTTGATGATGTGTCACTTTCAAAAAACACACGTAATCTCAATCTATCAAGTACACATATTGTTGATTTGACAAGTGTACTCTAAGGTACTGTAACTATAATTTCATCTTGAGTCATCTTTACTTTAATTATAACTAAAGATGGTTACAAACTTCTCTTCTTTTAAGATGCAACATATTTGTTGCACAACTGTTCAAATTCTTGAACTATCAATGATGCATTAGCAAGATTTTTAGATCGTTCACAAGTTGACTTGTACAATGATATTTTTTTAGTGAATCAAATACTCTGTTTAGATATACTTATGATCTCAAATCTACTTTTTGAATATCTATTCTATTTCAAATTATTCATAATTAGCCATCAAGATTGATAGAATAGTTAATATTTGTTGATTTGTGAATTATTTTTATCGTAATACATGTTTTTGTAATCATGACACATGAAGTAAATGATGTATTTTTCAAATGTTACGGATACTCCATAAAACCGCATGTTGTATGTGTGAAGTAGTATTAAAAATAGACAATAATTTGATCATGGTTTAACTAAGACTAACTAATCATGACTAAAGTTAAATTGATTTAGTGGCAATTGAAGATTGTCAAATTTAAAAAATCTCAAATAACATGTCGCCACCTCAACCTAGGATCAATGAAGTTTCTAAAAGATTTAGCTAGATTTATGTCATGTTGCAATGTATTGAAATTTAATCAAACATAACTAAGTTTATATTTGTAAAAGAAAATTAGATGATAATTATCATTTTTTATCATGATAATTTCTCATGTAGTATAAATAAAAAAATAGATAAGACATTTAAAAATTCATTATGTGATGACTTGTTTCATCAATATAAGTTTGAGTTATATTTTATTTTTTTGAGTACCAATGAATGTTTGCAATTGAGTAATGACTTAAGAGTTTGTGTGATAATATGATTTGAAACATATGCAAGTTGGAAATCTGAATCTTCTAAAATCATAATGAACTTCCACAAAGACATCTGAGGTGACATGAGTGAGATTAGTACAGAGGTGAGAGTTCCAACTTGTATGACATTTCATTGACATGTTTCAATGTCACAAAAGATTAATGAATCTAGAGTTAAATTTTGATGTTTCTATAAGAGACAAATTTGTCATAGATATCAAATATAAACATCTATCTGATATATTAATTCATGATGATCATCTTTATTTTATTTTTGTTGATTATGAGCAATCAACAACTCATACTTTGATTAGTGTAATCTTTGGTGGATATGTTCCACAAAATTATTGATCGTAGCTACTTTGATTAAGAGTTACTCTCCTTTCAAAAGTTTCATCAAACTTGATAAAGCAACGGAATGATCACCATACATAAGGCTAAATGAAAACACCTCTTTGAATAATTTTAGAAAATTGTAATATGTTCATTCCACAAGAGTAAAAGAAATTTCTTGTGATAAGAATGTTTGTAACAAATCTTCTATAGTCTATTGCTTCTCTTTATTTGACTCTCAATTTAAATATGATAAACGATTGACATTGCTAATATTGTTTAAGAAAAGTTAAACAAAGTTTTTCAAAATAAACTAGTAAAATGAATATCTCTATATGTATTTAAGATTTTGTTTAATCTGTGATTCACAAAATGTCATCTAAGTACAATTGAGCAAATTTTGAAGATGTTTCTTTCTCAATGATTGATTTGATGTGAATTATTTTGTTCAACTTATCCACAAAAATCACAACTGAATCATACTCTAACAAAGTTTATGATAACACACATCACAAATCCATGGTATCATTTTCTTAAAATGGAAAAAGTTTGTGATTAACTAGTTGATTCTTTATTACTTGCCATATTTTGTTGACAAGTTACACAACTTTGAACATTAGTTTCCACATACTCCCATATTTTGGACAAAATTAAACTTGTTAGATGTTTTTTAATATATCTTTCACTCCCACATGGCCTACAATGACTGTATCATGACTTTTTGATAGAATTATTGTGCGTAACTTTAGGTCTTGCAGAATCTCTAAACGTTGTTTGTGAAACGTCAAATCTCTAGTCTTCTCTTTTTGTCCATCTTATAATGTTCCCTAGACATCTTCATACTTCTTTGTTGCATGTGTCATCTTGCTTCATCAATCGACTTGAACCCTCATTTCTACAACATAATTAATACATGACATGCGTGTGAGAGCATTCACAAGTTGTTTCCTACCCTTCACATACATAATTTTCATGTTGAAACAACAACACTATGCTTATCAAATTTGTTATTTAGATGCATCCTTCTAAGTGTAACACTAGAGTTTTGAAAAAAGTTAATTCAAAGATAGAAATGTAAACTCTGAAGATGAGAGATACCAACAAGGGTTCTACTCTTCCTTATATAACTCTCACCAACAAGTACAAGGAGATAAAATCTTATCTCCACCATCCATCCCATTACTAGTGAATGGATTACGTGGCAGATAACCCTAACAAGCACACGGATTGCTTACGTGGCGCTCCTAACTAACACACTAACTAACACACTCAATCTTTACGTAACAAGCATTCGGATCGCTGATGTGACGTTGTCAACTAGCATACATACTCTCTACCTACCAAGCGCACGGATCGCTGACATGGCAGCTACGACTAGTGTACTCTAAAGTATCTATATCAGCATTTAGAGTAACCTCTACGTTAGTTTTTACTAACTAAAGATGGTTACAACCTCCCTCCTTTTAAGATGCAACGTCGTCGTTGCACATACGTTCAAACTTTTGAACTATCAAAAGTGCATTTGCTAAATTTTTAGCTGGTTCCCAAGTTGATTTATATAATGGATAACCTTTCCATTGAATCAAATACTTTATTTTGGGATACTTATGACCTCGAATACGTTTCTAGAGTATCTTTTCTACCTCAAACTCCTCATGATCTACTATGAAGGTTGGAAGAGGAGGTGGTGCTGGTTGGTTGGTGAAATGTTTGGGTCGTGGTACATGTTTTTGCAATCGTAACACATGAAATACTGGATGTATTTTCATATGTGACGGAATTTCCAACTTGTATGACACTTCACCAACACGTTTCAAAACCAAAAATGGACTAATGAACCTAGGGTTCAATTTTGGTGGTCCTACAAGAGACAAATTTGTTGTAGATAACCAAACATGATCTCCGACCTCAAAAATCAATTCTCTACGATGAGCATCGGCATGTTGTTTTTGCCGATTTTGAGCTATTGCCAACTTCTCCTTGGCTTGATGTACTCCTCGGTGAATATGCTCCACAAATTCGTTGACTGCTGTAACTTTGATCGAAAACTCATCTCCTTTCGGAAGTCTCATCAAACTTGAAGGAGTTTTATAAGATTAACTCCATACATAAAAAATGGAGACACTTTTGTAGATGCATTAACAGAATTGTTATATGCAAATTCCACAAGTGGCAAAAGGTTGTCCCATTCTTCTTGCTCTAATGTGAATGCTCGTAACATATCCTCTATGGTTATTTGCCCTCTCTGTTTGTCCATCAGTTTGAGGATGATAGGCGATTGACATTGGCTATAATAGAGGCTATAATAAACCCGCTGGTTTTTGATTACTTGCCTTGTTTTGTTGACAAGCAACACAACTTTGAACGTAAGACTCCACATCCTCACGTATTTTGGGCCAATAGTACACTCGTATACTCTCCACGGTTTTCTCCACTCCCACATGACCTGCAATGGCTGTGTCATGACTTTTGACCAAAATCATTGTGCGCAAATCTTGACTTGAGGAATTCATTTACGCTGTTTGTAGAACGCCAAACCTTGAGATTTCT